CTGTTAGTATATACTGCAGAGCTACTAGGCGAAATTCCGCATAAAAAACCTGTATCTCACGGTATATTACAAAATGCCTACGCCAGCCGATATTTTGCCGGAAACCTCACCTAACGAGTACGCATTAGCGCTGGGTGTTTTTGCGTTATTTTATGTTAGTCTATTTTGTTATTGGGTGCTTGCGAGACAGTAGACTACGGTACTCGTACCGGTATTTACGCAGTGGTATATAGTGCAAACATTCGGCTTGCAGAGGTATGACGAGTAGGCACAGTTCGCATGGGAACCTGTTAAGGTTGAAGAGATTGCCGGATCTGCAAACAAAGTTGTGTGGCTAGTAGCTTGGTGCGCCACAACTAGCCACCCACATGCCCAGTTCCCAAAATCCTGGGCCATTAAATTACCTCTCGCAGACGTCATGCAACAATAAACCCTCCGGAATACCGTTGCCAGTTCCCCTTCACTTTTTCTTCAGCCATCACACCGCTCCGCATCCAACAAAACTTCTGCTAGACTTCTCGTTTAATTCGTTCCTACGGTGTCTAGTTTAGCTCTGGGCTCTTTCAATTTATCTTTTTTTTTTTACCCCCGTTTCAAATTCTTCATACCTAGGCACTAAATCAGGAGGAAGCGGGGCAGCTCGTGCTAGGTGGCCTGAGGAGGTTGAGGCCTGTCGAGACGGGTTGATTAGCTTCCCTTATTTGTTTTCTTGTTGAGGATTTGAATTTCCTTAAACTGCACTGCCAGCTGCAGGATCTCAGATCAGAATGCTGGAAGGATTGGTATGTTTGCTATCTCAAGTGGGGTTGGGTTTCGCTAACCTTGTGTCAGATTGCGACGCTAATGAATCGGTTCTTGGGAATGTATGGCGACATCCGATACTGAATCGTGTTCCGACCCACTGACAACTGATCAGGTACATCAAGAACTTCGATAGTAAACAGCTAAATGTTGGCATTTGGAGGTTGGTTTTCAGAATGGCTAATCCCGAGTTTGGCTGACATTTCGGTCTTTCTCAGTGGCGATGTACGATTACGGAACCTTGAGCTGAAGAAAGAAGTAGGTCCTATCGGAACTACCTAAGAGCCATGGGCCAATTTCTTACCGTTTTTCAGGCTCTGGATCAGATGAAGCTCCCCTTAAATGTCATGGAAGGGCATCTGGGACAGCTTACGCTGCAGTAAGCCCAGTTTGCTACCGGGCAAGCCGATTCAGGGCTAATAAAATTACAGAATCCCCTGGAGTAATCTGAAAGGAAAGCCGGTGAAAGTAATTATCGAGGATGTCTATCTACTAGCGAACCCAAAGGCCGATCAGGAGGTGAGAGAGTTACCCTTGGTAGTCACTAGTTATAGCTGTTGTCTTCGAGGCGCTTACCTGCCACGGCATAGTATAACGAAGAGGAAGAGCAACGGCGGAAACAAGCTGTCAAACAAGAGAAGCTTCAGAATGCCGAGTTACTTCAAGATAGAAACACCGAAGGGATGTCAGTGGAGGAGCTTCAGAAAAACCAGAGCTTCACAAACAGTCTGGTTACCAAAGTCAGAACCGAATAGTCAATACCTACCTTATATTTCATGCTAACCCCTAGTGATAAAAGATCTTGGATAATCTTCAAATCACTGTGAAAAACATCCATATCCGATACGAGGATTCTCTTAGCACTCCAGGGGTAGAAACCGGCTATTCCTTAATACTTTGCTAAATAACGAATGCTGACTTTCGTAGCACCCGTTTTCCCTTGGATTCACGCTCGAGGAATTTTCTGCCGTCTCAACCAACGAAAATTGGGAACCTAACTTTATCCAGGATAACGTCTCTGTTACTCACAAGCTCGCCAAGTTGGGTTCGTTGGCCATTTATTGGAACACAGACTCCAAACATTTTGGGGGTCGCCCTGATGCCCATGCAACGATGGTAAAAGGTTTCAAGGGTCTCATAGCGTCTGAGAGCAATATACCCTCCGGCCACCAGTTTGTGTTAAAGCCTGTAAGCGGCACTGGCCATCTTGAGGTAAACAAAACTGGTAGAGCAGATGTCCCTAAGATGGTAGCCCGGATGATATTCGACGAAATTGGTTTTATTCTCGATGAGGACCAATATAGAGACGTGCTTATGATGGTTGACAATTTCCACTTTTATCTGCGTCATCAGCAATACAAGAGGTATCAACCAAAAGGAAAGTCCCCAAAGGAGGACCCTATGGCGTGGTTCCTTTTTGCCGGTAACGCTGTTTTGAGCAAAATACACGAGAAAAATAAGAAATGGTCTTGGGACTACTTCCGTGAGAGAAGAGATGACAGGAAACAGTACATTAAGTTGTTCAAGCAACTGAAGCAGTATGAACAACTAGCGGCATCCGAGGCGGAAGAATTAAAGAAACTTGAATGGAAACTGTCATATGAGGATCTAAGGTTCTACCGATCTCTTGCAAGAAATCAGCTGCGGAAGGACCGTGCGTTAGTCAAAAAACCAGAGCATCAGGGGGCGCAAGGATGGGTTTCATGGATGTGGGGCTCTGTTCAAAAGAAAGAGGAAGAACCCAGCACCATCATGACTGACCAGCAACGTAAAGAACTTTATGAGGCGATCGATTGGGATGAGAAGAAGGCCATAGCAGAATCCATAGACCTTCCACGAGATTCTGTTAAAATGCAGGTTGAGGCGAGTTTGAGAACTGGAAGCTTCACCCTCAAGAGAGACCCCCATGGGGACGGAGCGGAAATACTGGCACTTCTGTTTGACACGTTCAAGTCAAGGGTCCTGCAACGTCCAGATTCCTTCTACGGCGAGCTTAGCCTCGGAGGGTTAAGAGTTTATGATGGCACAACCAAGGGATCCCTATATCCCCAGATCGTGAGAGTCAAGGATGCGGTCTCCGCGTTAGGACTTGATGAGCTGGATGACGATGACGAGGATGTCCCAAAGGAATCAAACCCCGATGCACCATTCTTTCAGGCATCATTTGAGCGTAACCCTCTCGATGAGAGCGCTGATTCGGCAGTTACAATGAAGATGAGGAGCATGGAAATTATCTACAACCCTATCTTCGTGGAGGAAATTTACAATTTCTTTAAACCCCCGGAGCGACATATGGAGAGTATTGGTGCTCTGATGGAATCGGCTGGTGCTACTGTAGAAGGTATCCGACAACAAACACGGGCAGGGCTAGAGTTTGCTTTGGAAGAACACAAGACACTCAACGCCAAGTTAGATCTACAAGCACCTCTGATTATTATACCTGAAAGTATTTGCGACGAGAAGTCGAATTGCTTAATTCTTGACGCCGGGCATGTTAGCCTGACGAGCGACCTGGTAAAAAAGGGAGATATCAGAGAGATACATTCCAAACAGCGGCAACAATATAGTCAGGAGGATTATGCAAGGCTAGAGTCTTTGATGTATGACAAGTTTTCCTTGAATTTAGAATCAACGCAGGTTCGTGTCTGCCGCTCCGGAATCCGAATTATCATCCCTCGTGATCTAATTGCAAGACCAGGTTCTCATCGGGCCTTCTGTGGAAGAAACAAAGCTACAGTTGCGCGCCAAGTCCGACAGGAAGCACCTTCATATTGTTGATCGGATCAATATTAATTTCACAGTCGATATATCTATTCTCCCAAAAGCATCAAACCTTACAAAGTTCCGAATGTCGGGCCATCTTCCCGTCCTTCATGCTTCTCTGTCGGACAAAAAATACAAAGCCTTGATGAAAATAATTGATGTGGCAATCCCGAAACTAGGCCGCGAAGATTCACCCAACCCCCGAAAGTCTGTGCGCCAACCCGCCCAGGATTGGAAATCTAAGCCCATGCCTAACCAAACTCGTCCAACCCCCTTTCGGTTCTCCTCAAAGCAAGAAGAACTGGTACTGCGGGATGATAGCGATGGTGAAGATGAGACAGACGAGCACTTCGAGGAAGCATCTGATGGTATTCAGAATGATTCGCCTAGTACACACCAGAGAACATTCGAGCTCAAGTTTACTGTGGGGGAGTTACGAGGATCTCTATTCCGGGCAGATCCAGAGGGGAAGAACCCCGATAAGCAGCTGGTTCTCCTAGTTGCCGAACACTTTGCCTTAGATTTCCACATCAGGCCTTTTGATATGGCTGCAGAAGTAATTCTAAAGTCATTAAACATCGAGGATTTGATAGATGACGATCCATCCACTACTTTCAAGCGAATTGTTACCTCTGATACGCTTCAAGAGCAATCAAATGACAATCCCCTTTTCTTCGTCAAGTACGTGAAGGTAAAGCGAGAGTCTCCAGAATTTATGACAGTTTATGAGGCTATTGAGACAAACGTGGATGTTTCTATATCTACAATTAATGTTGTGATAACCAGAAAGACTGTTTTAACACTTCTTGATTTTGCCATCACGACCTTTACAAATCCCGGCAATAATCAAACCAAAGCCGCGATCCAGTCCACTAAAGGCGCTACATATAGCTCTGGAGAGGAGGCGTCGGACCTGGCTATTCCCAACGATCCCCTGGAAGCCGAGAAAATCCGCGTTAAGATCAATTTGGACAGTATAAGCCTCATCCTCAATAATGACGGTATACGCTTAGCGACCCTCAGCCTTGCTAGTGCCGACGTTGGTATGTTTCTTATGGGGAAAACTATGCGGATCGGAGCACGGCTTGGAAACTTTTCCCTCTTTGACGATATCAATGAAGGCGCTGAAGAGAATTCGCCATTGCGGCAGCTTGTTACTATCCAGGGTGATGAACTGGCAGATTTCCGATACGAAACATTTGATCCAGAAGCAATCCAATCATATCCTGGCTACAATTCCTCAATCTACCTCCGTTCCGGCTCCATTAAAGTCAACTTTGTAGAGGAACCCTTTCGGAAGATCATTGACTTCGCCGTTAAGTTCGGAAAAATGCAAGCCCTTTTTAACGCCGCACGTCAAGCTGCCATGAATCAAGCTAGCCAAATGCAAGAAAACGCAAATCAGATTCACTTTGACATCTTGGTCAGAACTCCTATTATAGTCTTTCCGCGAACAAATTTCGCTCATCATGCGGAGCGGGACCTCCTTACAGCATATCTCGGAGAGCTCTACGCACAGAACAAATTTGTTCCTCTTAATAATTCAGAAGATTCTGCTGTTGTGAATAAAATCTCCGCTGGAATCCGTAAGACGCGACTAACGTCTGTCTTCTACTTTAATCAAGGTCAAAAAGAGGAGCTAGAGCTCTTGGACAAACTAGATATATCTTTTGGGGTTACATATCTCGAGCATACTTGCAATGCCGAGCGACCAGACCTCGAGGTAAGATTTAACCCCGCGATCTCAGATATGAGCTAATTTTCTCAGATCGAGGGCTCAATGTCCGATCTTAATCTCAAGTTAACCCAAACGCAGTTCAAGTTCTTACTAGAACTCTCCCGATCAATTCCGGCGGTCTTTACAAGCGATCCCAAAGAGGAGGGGCTCGTCGAACAGTTGCCTGTGGAGAATATTGAGCCAGCGAAAAAGGCAATCCAACAAACGAGCGAGGAGTCAGCCCAAGTCGTAAATTTGAATCCAGAACTAGGCGTCAGCTCGGATACCTGGACCAAGGTGGACATGGTCTTCAGTGTAGGGAGCGTAGCCTTAGAACTGTTCACTGCTGACCCGGACAACCCTATTGGCGACCTCGAAGGTGCAAGCCTATCTAGAGCTTCCCTAAGTAATACTAATGTTAAGCTCCGAATGATCAGCGACGGCTCTATTGAATCAGAGCTTCTAATCGATTCCTTCAATATTAGAGATAGCCGGTTCCAAGAAACCAATAAGTTCCGCAAGATCATGTCGTCTACGAATGATCAAGGGTCACAATTTATGGCCAGCGTCACGATCTCAGGTGGCGTAGAACGAAACCTTGTGGCACTTCTAACAATCGATAGTCCCAGAATTATCTTTGCCTTGGATTATATCTTCGCCCTCCGGAACTTTGTGATGTCGGCATTAGAAACTGATGAGGGCCCCTTGGCAGAGGCGTCGGAAGAGAGTTCCGAGAGTGAAGATGATCTCAGCGAGAGAAGTACCCGCCTCGGGTTGGGTTCGCTTAGCAAGACAGATCGTTCGTCAAAGTCTACGGACCCCAGAAAAGACGATAAAGTCAAGGAAACCAACGAGGCAATACCTGTTTCCTTCCAAGTCAATATTGTCGATTCCCAAGTCATCCTGATTGCCAACCCCGGAATCAGTAACTCAGAAGCCATTGTCCTAAGCACAAAGCAGATTCTGGTTTCACAGCAACACGCTCTAACCCTTCAAATTGAGGAAGTGGGAATGTTCTTATGCCGGATGGATAAGTTTGAAACCAGCCGTCTCCGTATTTTGGACGACTTTGCAATAGCCGGATCGATGGACAACCGGTCACTTGGTGTGAATCAGTCCATTCAGAGCATCCAGATAGATGTTGACCCATTGGTCCTGCGAGTATCTTTGCGCGATATCCTTCTAGCGACCCAAATATTCAATAAGGCATCTGAAATGTCTTCACCCAATAAAGGCAAGCCTGAGATACAAGGTGAGGCCAAGCGCCTTGGCACCTCAAAGGCGTCTGGGAAATCTCTCAGGCGAAGAACTGCCAGTGGGAAAGAACCTTCAACTGCGGCACGGCAAGGTGCAAAATCTTCTGCCACTGCTAGGAGTCAGACATCTCAATTCCAGCAAGGCCCTGGTCGACAACCCGCTTCGACAATTGTGAAGCGGGAAGGGTTGAGCGCCAATTTTGCTGGGATGCGAGTAATACTGATCGGAGACCAGCATGAACTACCATTATTGGACTTGAGCGTAAAACATTTCAATGCTCGAGTAAAGGATTGGTCCGGAGAGGTATGTCATCCACTTACAATCTACCACCCATCACTAAACATGTTTCACAGTTGGATGCAGACACAAGTATCGAGTTATTCATGAACATCTACAACTTTTCGAAATCTGCATGGGAACCATTGATCGAACCATGGCAATTGGACTTTCATGTGAGGCTACTCCGAATCCCCCAACAAAACATTTACTAAATGATATTAGATGTCACGCTCAGTTCAGCAAGAGAAACTCTCAATTGATCTTATCTCCCGAAAGATGTTAGAATTGACTATCACATCCCAGACAATAGCTTTAGCTTCCAAGGCAGCGCAGTTCATGCAGCAAGACGAAGATATACTAACAAAACCGCGCGGCGCTGATTCCCCCTACCGGATTCGCAACCAGACCGGGTTCCCTTTGCATGTATGGGCTGCTTCCGACCCACTTCTAGGAGAACCAATGGCAGTTAAGCTCGAAGATGGGGAACAAGTGCCTTGGAGATTCGAAGAATGGGAGAAGATGCGGGAAAACTTGAGCCCCGATGGATCTAGTGGCATTGTAGGCATCAAAATCGAAAATTCAGGGTTCGAGAGCATAACCGAAATACCCGTTAATAAGGAAGGCGAGACGCTCTACACACTTCGTCCGCCAAAGGATAATACCCTCCACCGTCTACTATGTGAGGTACATCTTGGGACAGATAACGTCAAGTACATCACCTTCAGGTCACCTCTCATCATCGAAAACAACACTCAAATTCCTGTAGAGATCGGTGTCTTAGACGTCGAAGCTCAGCATATTGTCAGAGTTTATAAAATACTACCGGGTGAAAGCCAGCCAGCTCCAATAGAGACCGCATATCACCAATCAGTAGTGGTTAGACCAGATGGTGAATCCCCTGAATCTTCTCCAGCACAACTTAATTGCTAACTCTTCTGTAGCTGGGTTCGGGTATAATTGGTCTCAAGACCATCTGTTCTGGAGGACCCTTTTGAAAAAGCCGACCAAATGTCTCAACTGCAATAGCGAGGAAGGAAATAATGCGCCCCCATTTTACTTCCAAATGCATGCCACCTTCTCACGGAATAACCCAGTCGCGAAATTATATCCGTACATGAGGATCCAGTTATCTGCACCCCTCGAGGTTCAAAACCTTCTTCCTTATGACTTCAAATTCCGCATATATGACAAGCATACCAAGAAAGAATGGACGAATTTTCTTCGCAAAGGCGGCTTGAGCCCAGTCCATGTGATCGAACTTTCACATCTACTTCTCATGAGTATCGATATGCAAGATACCGTTTATAGCGCCAGCGACTTCGCTATAATCAATTCCGATAGCACAGAGTTTGATAAAGAAACAACGCTGGTGGCGAAAGACAACCAGGGCTTGGAACTAAGGCTTCGGCTACATTACTTCCCGATTGCTAACAGTGGTGGCGCCTTCCGAGTCGCAGTCTATAGTCCTTACGTGATTCTGAACAAAACTGGGTTGACGATGATGGTTAAGTCTAAGTCTCTGTTACAATCCGCAAAGGTCGCCGCAGGGCAGATGCAAACGAGTGAGAAATAACCTTCAGCAGTTCATGGCTTCAGCTAATACTTTCAGGTGCAGGATCCTCTCAACGAGCTGTCCCCTACATGTTTTCCTACCCGAATGATGACCGGCAGAACCGTGCGGTTCTCAAAGTAGGAGATTCGATCTGGAGTAGACCTCACAGCTTTGAAGCGATCGGGAACGTTGCAGACGTAGTCCTCCCGTCCTCAACAAAGGAAACCGAGTTGCATATCGGAATATCAGTGGACGAAGGAGAAGGAAAATACAAAATGACGAAAATCGTTACTTTGACTCCTCGATTCATCCTTAAGAGCAAATTATCCGAAGTGATTCAGATAAGAGAACCTGGCACCGGTTCAAAGAACATCATGACTCTAAATCCCGGAGAGTTACTTCCCTTACATTTCCTCAAGGCTTCTGAGCGTAAACAGCTGACTCTACTCTTCCCTGGCATCAATAATCGATGGTCATCGTCTTTTAATATCTCTGATTTGGGAAGTGTACACGTTAAGATGCATAAAGCTAACCAGCGGCAAAGCCTTATACGGATAGACATTTTACAAGAGAAAGCTACTATTTTTCTACATCTTAGTATTGAAAAGAAGAACTGGCCATTCTCTATGCGGAATGAGAGTAGCCAGGAATTTACCTTCTACCAAGCCGACCCCAACCAGGACGATGACGAAGAAAAGGAGAGCGACTTCCGTCCAGTCTATTACAAGCTTCCGCCCCGAAGCATTATGCCTTACGCCTGGGATTTCCCAGCTGCTAAGAGCAAAGAGCTTGTTCTGATGGTTCACAACCAAAAGCGACATGTCCGCCTTGCAGAGATCGGTAACCTAGTAAGCCCCCCCTTATTTTTGCCCAGATAGATCTTGGGTTCTTATTTGCTTCTAGGTGCCTTTTAAAGTGGAAACTGGCGTAATTGGTGAGGATGGCAATCCAATAAAGAAGACAATTGAGATCAACGTTCGAGCGGATGGTCCCACACAAACCTTAGTCCTTTCCAACTACCGACCTTCCAAGAGTTTATACAAACCCAAGACCAACGCATCGTCTAGTAGCATTGCGACGAGTGCCGGCTTCGAAGTGAAGGATGGGGACAGTGACATTACTTTTCAGGTCCAAATCCGATTTGCTGGGATCGGAATTTCGCTTATCAACAGACAAATCAAGGAATTGGCTTACATCACTTTCCGCGACCTAGAAGTGAAATACAATGAGTCATCCCTTCTTCAAACCCTCAACGTTCTTTTGAAGTGGATCCAAATCGACAATCAATTATATGGAGGACTTTTTCCTATTATTCTCTATCCTAGTGTCGTACCGAAGACAGGTAAAGAAATGGATGTTCACCCCTCGCTTCATACATCAATCACTCGAGTGAAGGATGATTGTACGTTACCTCTGTTCCCCCTAAATCCTTAAAATCATTAACACCCACTAATATATTATAGCATACGGTGTACTCTATATTAAATATGCCACATTCCTATTGCAGCAGATGACGCTTGAAATCGATGAGGACTTTATTTATGCGCTTCTCGACTTTTCCAAGATCCCAGGTGCTAGTTGGATGGAATACGATGACGGGAAATTGTGCGACGATGACTTAGACATTCCAGAGCCAAAGACGGACAGTGCCGGGCAAGACATGTACTTTGAGCTGCTGAACATTCAACCCGCACAGCTTGATATTTCACTTCTTCGGACAGAAGTAGTCAATGTCGAGGACAAAACTTCATCACGCAACCCCTTGCTGTTTATCCTAAACGTCTTTACAATGGCGATCGGAAATATCAATGATGCGCCGGTGCGCCTAAATTCTTTGATGTTGGAAAATGCAAGAGTTTCAATGCCGGTCCTTGCCCGGCACCTTCAGACCCATTACAGCAACGAGTTCTTGTACCAAATCCACAAGATTCTAGGGTCGGCAGACTTTTTGGGTAACCCCGTTGGATTGTTCAACAATATCAGTTCTGGTGTCTGGGACATATTTTACGAGCCTTATAACGGCTTCATCATGACGGATCGTCCAACCGAACTTGGTCTTGGGCTTGCCAAGGGCGCCACCAGCTTCGTCAAGAAGTCAGTATTCGGGGTATCTGACAGTTTGTCCAAGTTTACGGGCAGTATTTCTAAAGGCATGCAAACACATTCCCTACAGTATCAATCTTCCACGAATACTAACCAGCCGTTTACATGAAGGCCTCGCTGCGGCAACCTTAGACAAACAGTTCCAAGATCGTAGGCGCATTTCACGAGCACGGAACCGCCCAAAACATGCGTTATATGGTGTAACATCTGGCGCTGACTCACTCATCACCAGCTTCGCCAGTGGCTTCGGTGGACTTGCTAGAAAGCCGCTGGAAGGCGCAGAGCGTGAAGGCGCCTTAGGCTTCTTGAAGGGACTTGGCAAGGGTGTTGTTGGTCTGGCTACTAAGCCTGCGATTGGAGTCTTTGATCTCGCGTCAAGTGCGCGACCTTACCCTGTCATTTCATCGCTGGGCACTAATATCTAAGTGGCACAGATGTCACCGAGGGTATCCGTAACACAACGACCGTCTTTGACGCGGAAGGACTGGACCGGGTCCGCCTCACACGATACATCGGCCAGGATGGGGTTGTTAGACCGTACTCACAACGCGAAGCATTAGGTCAATTTTGGCTGAAGCAGCTAGACAACGGAAAGTTCTTTGACGACGAATACATTGCTCACCTAGAACTCCCCGAGCAGGACCTAGTCGTAATGTTGACATATTCGTGAGTTCCCCTTATATTACTCCGGCGAGACCAAGACTAATGCAGAGTAAGGCGAATCATGCTTGTCAAAGCTAAACGGCTTTACTGTGAATGGGATCTTCCCCTAAACGAGCTTCAAACAATCAGTATGGAGAAAACAGGAATAGCTTTAATGCTACGAGGTGGTCGACAAGGTCCCTTTATACCAACCAGGGACGAGTCATCGCGGAAGTTCTTATTCAAGAAAATTGGGCTCGCTGTTAATTCTTTCAACAGCACGGCCGCTGTTTCTTAAATTGTACAGCCTAAGATCGAGGCTTTTCTCGAAAAACAATATTTCAATGTGTTTTCTTTCCCTTTTCTTAGGGTGGCATGTTTAACGTCTCAGTGAACGTTTTTTCTCTGTTGTCTTTCCCATATCCACTTTTCTTCTATTTTTCCTCTATCTGCCCCATACCCTCTCAAAAGTGCATCAACACCTAGTCAGTTAGGCTTAAGTTTCTACTACCTTTATCTAGGTATTTTATATAAGTAACGGCAGCGGAATGTTTCTTACTACTATGCAGCGCATTTGAAACCTCCAACCAGAACATCTTCCCGTCCAGAGAATGTTCACGAAACATGAAATATCACTCGTGTCAGTAAATCACGCCCCGAAACCCAACGCCCATCAAAAACATCATATCATGCTACAAATGACACAACCCCTACCCCACGATACATAGCCACCATTACCCCTTCCTCCCCGATGACAGCAGCAACAGCCAACAAGATCCCATCCCTTCTTTACCCAGCCCCTTCAGGCAGCTCCTCGTACGATACCGGCCGGCATCTGCGCGGAATGCCCCCACCCAAGACAACCGAGCCAGGTGCTTAGCCCGATATACTAACAGAGCACAGTATCGCCGACGAGAACATGTGCATGAATAGCGTCTGGGCTCGAGCCAGGAAATTGAACTGGCATAATTGGAAGTAGAAAACCTGCATCATGTACTGTAACGTGTGATATGACATGAATTGCGGTTGCATGGTCTCTCTCCCAACACCCGGGCGAGGCGCGGATGTACTATGACGGGTGATGGGTTGTGACCAAGTGCGTTATTATATCAAAACGGTTGAGGATGGCATTAGTGTACGAAGTTGAGACCCGGAATGGGGTCCGACAAGGGTTGGTATTCGAGATCTTATTCCCTTTTTATTTCCACGTGGGTCGCAGTGTAATGTGGGGGGGGCGGTGTTGATATGAGGGCTTTTGTAGACGTCATAGCAAAGAGTACTCGTGGTGGCTCGGGGATATACTTGTATCCGGGAAACTGTCTATATCACTTTAGCCAGCGAAATTTTATTTTTCCCAAGACTGGGGCGAAACGGTGATTCCCGACTCGCTGGGAGCGTTTCATTAGGCCGAAACGTGGATTAAGAGTGATATTTAGAAGACCGGGTACTCGAGTAGAATAGAGGCGTAAGAGAAAACAGATGTTTACAATTTTCAGTGAAGCATTACATAACAGCTATTGCTCCATTGACCCTAACTTACGTCATCACCCGGCTATGCCTCACAACCTCTCCTGCGCCGAAACTCGTGATGAGTATTTTATTGTGTCTCCAGGAGCTCCGGCATTCTTAGATACTCACAACCATCTCAAGCCCATCCAAAGCCACATGCAAAGCAACTCTCTATCCCAGGGTAGAACTTCGAAACCTGGGCTAGTAGCTCAGCACCTAGGCCCAACCTGTGTTTCACCCGCCAAGAACGTACGAGATCAAATGACAAATGCGCCGATCCATACCCGGTGAAGCGCCACACTATTATCTCGGCGGGGCGCGGATTGCCGCTTGTATCCTACCGAGTGATTTCCTATGGATTGAAGTGGTTCAGCAATGCAAGTCTAGGACGGAAATTCGAGGCATGCGATGCAATTGTGCAAGCCTTGGGTCAAACTGTTCGCCGGAGTCCCTCTCCAGCTCGATACCCCACAGAGCACGAGTATCTTAGGTGCCGATCCTAGGAATTGTAACAAAGGTTGGGCGGTTTATCGGAGAATAGGTCCGTATCGCTCTTGCGCTTGGTCCCGCAACGATACAGGCATCTCTCATGTAGATGCGCGCCAGCGCTGGTACGTCTCTCGGCGGTTTCGTGGATGCAGTGGTTGTTCGGGGGGGCGATTGCACCAGTAGCTGCCGCATAACCTTCGCCACCAATTCATGAAGATGAAGGTCACCCCTAAATTATCGATCACGGGATTGCGCGCGGTTTTGTTGATTGATACACGCCGGACTAGAAATACTCCAGGCGCAGTTTGAAATGTGCATTTTTGATCCTATCACAGCGGTATTCGTGGTTAGTACCATGTACGGTACAGTACAGTGATTACATATTGGCCTATGCCGACTTCGCAATTTTGGAATACAATCCACAGCACTGATTACTTTCTCCTGGGGCATTTGGCACGTCAGGGAGGAAAAACTCCTTCAGAATTTCGGTGACTTGCAAATAGATTCTTCCTACGCTATTTGTCCTCATTAACAGGAATACTCGAGGGTAAAAAAATGCACCAATAGCTGCTCTATTTTCTGTTTATGTTGTCCGGGGTATTTGTGAGGCGTGAAACGAAACAAATAAACAAACAACACCCCCGAACTCAGCGATTTAATTGGCTTGCTGATTTTTGGCCGATCGCAATTCCGCTATCACGCACGAAAATTCCAATCTCCAATACCATCTCCTAGAAATTCGAGTTTAAGCTCAGCCCGCGAGAACTATCAAATTCCCCGAGGAACCCAAGAAAAACATGACCTATAAGCATTGACACCCGTCCAGTGGTTCTCGCCGGTGAATTTAACTCCGCATGTAGTTCGAGATCGAGAGAAGAACTTTCGGGGAGAGTTTATTCGGTTACTCGGAAGCCTCCCTGTTTACGATCTCTAAAACGCAGCGAAGAGACAAGCCGGCATTGGGTCTGGGCTAAATCACCTGCGTTGTCTCCTTGTCGGTTTAGATCTCGTATATCATACCGGCGATATTTGAGCTTCTAGTGAACGCAGATACAAGAATTGGCCACAAAATTATTTTTTTCCGAGTTACCCCCCACCACCGCTGATAGGTTCCGTATGCTCGAAAAAAGCATTGGCAGGTTAAGCATTTCTCATCGATTGGGCAATAGGATACCCGGCAACTTTGGTCTAGAACTATGGAATTGTATAGTTAACTCTTGAAATGTGGGACTATTGATAGGGATGGAGCTTACGTCCACACGTAGTAAATACTCGAATACCAATTACAACTGGTGATTCGCAGGCATCGTAGTCAGCTGAGATGTTTACAGCATCGAGATGCCTTATTAAAACCCACAAGAAGGCTTCTTATCTATTCGATCATCTCCCATCATCTCCTCCACCACTGATACTCGCAGGAAGCGATGGCCAGTCAGCCCACACAAACACACCCCAACCTATCAGCAAGTAAGTTATCTCCTTGGCCATGAGGCACCTCATTTGTTTATAAAGTACGCATCGCGAAATTAATTTGATCTTTTGCAGTTGCCCTAATCATTGCCGATTCTTACCGCAGAAGATCTCCGATATGCGAGTGCCAAAACCGTCACCTTCCAGCCGAAAGCTTAAGCCTCTCACTTTATCCCACCAAAGGAACAACACACAGAGCATGCGCATACCAAAGCAACCACCTCCGCCAACTACTTATTTATTTCTCAATTAGCGTACGCATATGCTCTGAGCTAGCTCACGATACTGTTCAGTATCCGTGCTCCACTCGTATCCCAATAAAACACCGAGACCGCACGAGCCGTGGAGGAGCCCCTGTCCCGCTGGTCGTGGTCTGGACTGGCTACCTTTGTCAAGAGAGTTACCGCTTTTGTCGCGCGGATGCTCCCGTAGCTAGCGGCTGAGTTACGCTTTCGGCGTTGAGTTGGCATCGTGCGATGCAACGGCAGCCAAGCCAATGCTACTCGAGTACAGATCCCCCACATGGACAGCTCATACAGACCTTAAATTTCTGAGTGCCCCCTCCCAACCTACTAGAGCTCGGGTATCTGACTACATCTGGACAAGCGTGGGAGCCATTATGTAACGCTCGAGCCAGATCTCCGAGTGACAAAGTGTGAGGGCGACGACGCGGCTATTAATCACTTATTGCGCTAAGCACAATAGTAACAGCCAATGTCCCTGCACAAAGCTCTAGTAATAATTTCCTCCCCCCAAACTAAACAAAGCCGGATAATAGGATATTGCAGAAAAAATAAATGGAAAATAACGACCAAGGTGCTAGGGGTGTTTCCTGTCTCAATAGATCACCCCGCCACGATAAGAGATAGCCAACGTTCCACATCTGCATACCTGTAGCAGATAACTTCACTGCAATATACTGCCAACAGTGCAATAGGCGCGTTGCATTATCTTTGCAGCGCGACCCTTGTTGGCTGGGGTTACTCCCGACAAATTTGAATCACATGCCTAAGGGCATGATGCAATGAACAAAAGCATTGTCGATCCAATTCTAAGACAAAAGAGTACATCTTCCGCATACTAATCTACGGCAGTGCACGGGTACCGGCAAGTTGTCAGTGCCGTACTGAATCTCACTTATCCATGAGGAATTCCGTTCAAAAAAGAAAAGTGGGAAATGACTAGGGGGGCGTGAAAGACCCGCGGAGAACCTGTCAAGCGGGATCATCGGAAATCCACTCAGTCATTCAATCGGTTCACAGGGGTCTCTCTGCGCTGTAGAGACGGGATGATCTCAATCTCAATAATTTTTGGAAGGGGAGATCAATGTCAACGAAAAGAGTTGGTGCAATGTGTCTGCGTCCGCACTGATCCTAAGCTGAAGATTTGCCGCACATTGCTAGCTTGCATCAGCGCATATCACTTCACAAAACGTTGCTGAATCCCCAATGCAGCACGCCAGCCAGGGAATCCCTGCGATAAATAGAGTGACGGCGCCCCACCCAGAAGGGAAAGTTAGGAGTTAGAATTTGGAATTCTTGGCGAATATTTGAAAGGGAAGAAAGCTATCATACTTGTACGAGTATTTCACGGCAAGAAAGTTTGTGTCATTGCGTAGACTATTCTTCGCCTTTTCTCTGACATTGGCCCGGGCAAAACTGCCAAGGCTTCGGACTTCTGACTTCTAACTTTCGTTTGCGCATGGGGGCGCCGTCACTCCAATATCTACATGTGACCAGCAAAAAATTCTCAAAACAACGCCAGCAGAGGGTTGGAGAACAAATTTGACATCCCCGCTTATTCCACCTACGATCGAGCCTTCGGGAATCTAGCATTACGCTCACCTCGCCTCTTGTCTTCTCCCTTCACGGAGCAGATTACCAAGTTTCGCCTGCTTAATCAATCCTGCCTCCCCTTCGGGCTAAAAAGAATGTCAGCGGACATGAAACTTATAAATTGCTTTTTTTTTCCCTGGTTGTCGAATGTTCCATAAGCAGGGACAAAACGGAGATCGCTGATGGTAACCCCCGTCAGATGCACTGGGATACTTTGTGTGATACACTTCACTGGCTATCCATGACACCGCATTTCTTCTGAAAGTCTCTGGTTTGAAAGCACATTG